AGGTTGTTTCCAATTTGGGGCTATTACAAATAAAACTGCTATGAACATCGTTGTACTTGCATCCACCAAAGGACTCTTCTGTCTTTTGATGGATGTAAACACTCATTTTTATTGGATATATACCCAAGAGTGAGATTACTGAGTCAGAGGTATGTGTATCTTTAATGTTCCTAGATTGCCAAATATTTCTCCAAAGTGGCTATACCCACTTACATTCCCAATGGCAACCAAAGACAATTCTAGTTGAAATATGCATTACTTTTATTTATTTTCTTTCTTTCTTTTTTTTTTTTTTTTTTTTGAGACGGAGTCTTGTTCTGTTGCCCACCTTGGAATGCAGTGGTGTGATCTTGGCTCACTATAGCCTCCGACTCCCAGGTTCAAGCAATTCTCCTGCCTCAACCTCTGGAGTAGCTGGGATTACAGGCGCATGCCACCACACCTGCCTAATTTTTTTGTATTTTTAGTAGAGCCAGGGTTTCTCCATGTTGGCCAAACTGGTCTCAAACTCCTGATCACAAGTGACCTGCCCGCCTTGGCCTCCCAAAGTGCTGGGATTATAGGCACGAGCCACTGTACCCGGCCTGCATTACTTTTATAATCAGAAAAAAATAAATGCTATTTTGAGAAATAAGAGAAACAGCAAGAGAAATCCTTTTTCTAGACAAACTCTGCAATTAGCAGCAAATTTAAACATGTAGAAAATATATTATTCTACACTTCACCGGTTTGTAGAGGCTTCAGGAGGAGGTTTGGCTTGGCAACTAAGAGCTCTGGCATTGGAGTCAGATAACAAAAGGACAAACTTCAACCCTGCAAATTGCCAGCTGTGTGATCTTCAACAAACTACTAACCCTCTGTGCTCTTTCGTTTCTTTGTCTGTACATTATAATAATAACATTACCTCACAGGATCACTATAAGGAATGACAAAATAAAGCTTGTAAGATCCATAGAATGTGCCTGAAATATAGTAAGAGTTCAATAAATGTTAGCTACTATTGGTATTATTAGTATTTATACTAATATTAGGTGGTGACTATTAGCATTCTTAGTCTAGATGTGTGGCAAGCCTCTATTATTAAAAAGCATTTGGTAATTAATTCTCCATTCCCATTCTCTCCCCATTTCCACACTGATCAATTCTTATGAAGTTCCTTGGTAATTTATATAATCATAGAAATTTTTCTCTCAAATGGTTGGATGCCTTGAATGGCTTTTAGACTCAATTTAAGAAACAGTTTGCGAATGTTGCTGGGAGAAAATGCATTTAATTTGCCAAAACCAAATTAACTCCTAATACACAAGGGAATACATGTAAGCAGTAAACAGTTGATAAAAATAAAAACACTTTTTCTCTCTTTGTTCCATGTGGACTTAAACTTAATTATTAAATTTACATTTACATGTCCAAACAAAGCACACACAATTAGCACAATTTTCAAAATCATACTGTCTTTAAATCCCATAAATTACTTATTCAACCATGGAATGATACAAAGTCTTTCCAACTAATTTAACCCAACAAGTTGGTTTTATTTTTGTGCCCATCATGGGGACTTTGGATGGCTTTTTAAAAAATCCATATCAAGTCTCATTAGGAACACTGGTCATATTTTGAACAAAATGCTAATATTGCAAAACATTTTTAAATTTAATCTCTTCTATATGCCAGTCACAGCAGATCTTTCATTTTCAATACAATGTTATTCTCTATTGAGTCCTAAGGCAAAATCTTATCATTGAACAGATAGGTGTGAGTGGCTACATTTCAAATGCAATCAATTAATTGACACATTACAACTGAAATGGCTCCACTTGCTTCCTCCCAACTGTCCAGCAGAATTTCTCTTGTCGATACCTTTATGTTGGAAACTTATAAGGTAAAGGTATCTGTTAGATCAGACTTGGCAATTTATGGCCTCAACAAGGGGCCTTTCTTATGTCCTGGTACCAGGGCTTGGCTTTCTGCACAGTACAGGCTTGGATTTCTGCAGAGAAAGGAGATTCCCCAGTTTTTCTTGCTCTGTGCTTACACAGTCATGGTCCCTTCTTTGCAGGTGACGCCTCCTGTTGTGCAGACAGCAGGTCCCTTTTCCCCTATGGAGTGTCTCATAACTGGGGCTCTGTTAACAAATGTGGGGCAGGGTAGTCATGGCAAGATGCCACTCCTTTCCCTCTACCTACCAAAATGCATTCCACTGAGATCCAGGAGGAAAAACTGAGATGACCATCAGGGAGTCACAGGCCATACGTGTACTGACAACGAATCTTTGGAGATGTTCGCTTTAGTTGTGGTTGTTATTTGGATGTCATGGGTGGAGGGCTGCATTCCAGACACAAGATCTGGGACTAGAGGACCCTACCCCAGCTGCTTCTTTCTCAAAGAAGCCCTGCCTTCCTTTGTTCTTTTATAGTAATGGACTTTAATGATCTTCAAGATGGTTCTCATTTCAGCTGATCGTTAGGAAACATGTCGGGGGAGGAGGCACTCTTTTCAAATCACCTTTCTTCAGACAGGTTTCTGATCCTATTCAAGGCCACATCCCAGCCATCTGGTTTCTGTAGCTCAAAGAATTACTGCTCCTGATAAATTGCTCTGAGTTCTGAAGCTACTGCTGTCATATTGCATTCTCCGATCATTTACCAGGTCTCCCAAGACACACACACACACACACACACACACACACACACTCTTCAAGCTGTTAGACTCCATTTCCATGTGGTATCCAAATAAGTTTTACAGCAAGACATACTGGAGAGACTGAAGCTAGCACAGCACATGAAGCATACAGGAAACGCTCAAAAAAGTTGTATTGAATGGAAAGCCTTGGAGCCAGGGACAGAGGGTCAGAGGTGGAGATTACACCTCTACACCTGATAGGTTCTCCCAGAGCACTTGCCAGTGGCAGTCAGGCCTGAGGGGTGGAACCCAGGCAGAGACACATTTTAAACTGCTAAACAACTGATTCCTTGGAAGAGGGGAGTGAAACGTGAGCTCCCCATCTCTGGACAAGTACAAGCCAAAGTTGTACAACTACCTGATGGGGACATTGTGAAAAAGAATTCAACCTCAAATTGGTAGTTGAATTGGAATAAGTTAGAACAGAGAGGAATAAGGGAGAGGAAATGAAAGGAAAACATTTTATTTTAATGTAATTAAATAAGTTAAATTAATTACATTTAAAAAGAGGTAGGAAGGAAGGCCAGAGGCTGGGGACCGTTCTGTGCATGTGCCCAACCTTTGGAAAGAAACTAGAGTGTTCCTGAGAGGGCTGGGATCTCAATGGGCAGTTGGCAGAGTGTCCCAGCACCCTGGTCCTTGGCCTCCAACACTATTCATTCCTGCCTGTGGATGGAGCCTTTGGGCCTGGCCACGCCCAGAAGCCACAAGGTCTAGCTGAGTAGTGTTTGCTAATACATTAGGATGTGTGGCCCTGGACAAAGAGGGGCAGAGCTTTCAGCTCCTCTCCACCTGCCCTAGTGACACTCAGGATCCTAGAGGGTCTCGTGGAGGGCCCCCAATTCCTAGGGCAGGCAGGGAAAGGAAGGGGCCTGTCTTCCCACTAGAGACCCATGACCAGATGATTGAGTTGCATCAAAACTGCTGAGCACTCACTGGCCCAGACAGGTCTGTTCCCAGAAGCAATCATGTCATTGGATTCCTAACTAGACCCTAGGAATTGGGCCAGTCCTTGCCCCCTGCTCAGAGGTAGGATTTGCAGGTAGAACAAAGCAGGTGTCTTCCTAAAAGATAATATTCCTGAGTTGTGTCCCAGGCAGTAGGGTGGACTGCAGTGTTGGGCTGTGACCAGGGGCAGGGCTCAGGCTGTGGCCCTCAGAAGGGAATTTTTCTTGAAAACAGCTTTGCTGGTCTGGGAAGGGAACCTGGGCTCAGGCCCCAAGAAGTGTCACAGCCACCACCTATGCCAGAGGACAGACCTGAGGCTGGGGTAGGATGCCCAGCATTGGAACTTGGGCCTGTTCCCAGCCTGGACTGGTCCAATTAGGAAGACACACAGAGACAGCAAAAGAGGGCAAGAAATTGGAAGCAGGAAGAAGGGAGGGGGGAGGTAGAATCTTTTTCTGCTTCCCATTTCTGTTGCTTTCCTCTTCCACCTCTCTTCCCTGCCTCTTCCTATCTTAGGAGGATTCAGCTGAAACACACAGCAGCCCAACCCCTGTGTTTTAGGCTGGGCAGGACCACAGCCTCTCTTCTTGATCCCCATCTCTCCTGTTCCTCACCCAAGAAACCCCCTTTCTAGGACTGTGAAATCAGTGTGTTTTCAACCCTGATTCCACAGGTGCACCCCCTTAGCACACCCTGACGGTTGTCCATGCATCATTCACTGAGTGCTCCCCACCCACCCACACAACACACACACTTGGCTCCCAGGCCAAACGTGCCCGCTTGCTCTGGGCAATTGGCCTGGCCAGGTTCTCCCCTTTTCCTGCTTTACATCGTTTGCCGGCTCTGTACTTTGTGTTATTTGTGACTTCTCTTGTGCAAGCCACAGCAGTCTTGTCCCTGTGAATCCCATTCTCTTCCCATCGGCTTCTCAAGGAACTCAAAGGGTGATGTGGAGACACAGAAACTGGGCAGTGTGACACCACACACAGCCACACCCCACCACACCGACAGTCTCAAGTGAAAGAGGGTGCCGCACACACTCGAGTGCAAACGTACATGGACGCACACTCAGACTCCCTGTGTTTAGGGTCTGCAGACACCCGCCCTCCTTTCTTGCAACCTCCCCCCTACTCACTTCCAGCCTACCCTCGTTTTTTGTCACCCCACCCTGGAGTTTGAGACACCAAGAGAAGGGTTGGGTGCAAACACCTGGCAAAAAATCACGGGATGGTCACACAAACACGAAATCACTCAAAAGATACCAACGGGAGGCTGGCGGGGGGCAGGGGTACTCCCTCCTTCCGCGATTTCCTCCTTCATCGCCCAGGCCTCCTCCCTCTGTCCCCTGACAAAAAGTCACCGAGCCCAGCTCAAATCGATTGTTTTATTGACTGTTTGCATACAGACGCGTTTAGAAAAGGACACGGGCTCCGGGGGCTACTCCGTCCCAGGCCCGCGCTTGTGCTGCGCTTTGCGAAGACTGCAGATTCCGAGGACTGAAACTCCCCCCACCCCAACCCCGACGCTTTCTTTCAAAATGGAAAAAAGAACTCCGCCCCCAGTCGCCGCGCCGCGCCCCTCCCCTCCCCTCCCTCCCCGCCCATCTGCACCCCCGCCCGCCCCCCTACACTACACGGTCACACTTTACAGGACACAGACTTTTCTCCTACAGGGCACGGTTGTCAGGGACTACACGCCGGGCAAACAACGATTCCCGCCGAAGCAGGGGCGGGGCGACGCGAGGACCAAGACGCGAGGACAGAGGGGCTCGGCTCCATCCGGATCCCACCTCACAGTCGCACAGTCACGCGCAGGCTTTGTGCGAACTAGGGCGCGAGCACTCCCGAGAGCCGTGGCCCGGGAGGCCACAGTCAGCTTCCTCCGCCTCTGGCGCTTTCCAGCTGGGTCTGGGTCGGGTGGATCCACGGGAGCGGCGCTGTTGGGCGCACAGACCTCCGGAAAGCCCAACACACGGATAACGAAATTGGCCCGGGACCAAGTCCACGCGCTCAGCCGCCAAGAGGCGCGCGGTCCTGCGGCGCTTTAAGTTAGGAGAGAGACAACAGAAAACGCATTCCCTCCCTACCCCCCGACACACACACCCGATTTTCCCAGAGGCTGGGAAGGGGGTGTTAGCACCAGACCCGAAATGTCGCTGTCTTTGAAAACAACGAAAACAGGAAAATCTGAGCGCGGAGCTGAAAGGCGCCCCAGGCACCGGGCTGGACTCCAACAGGCCAGAAGTGGGGTGGGGGTGGGAGGACAGAAGGATTTGGTTCCCTGCCGGGAGGTGGCTTTGGAACTAAAAATTAGGGGTTGCCACGAATCCCGGCTTCTGGGTGTAGGGATTGAAAGGGAGGAGGGGCCGGTGCAGTGGCTCACGCCTGTAATCCCAGCACTTTGAGAGGCCGAGGCGGATGGATCACCTGAGGTCAAGAGATGCAGACCATCCTGGCCAACATGGTGAAACTCCGTCTCTACTAAAAATAGAAAAAATTATCTGGGCGTGGTGGCGCGCGCCTGTAGTCCCTGCTACTCGGCAGGCTGAGACAGGAGAATCGCTTGAACCTGGGAGGCGGAGGTTGCAGTGAGCCGAGATCGCGCCACTGCACTCCAGCCTGGCGACAGACCCGAGACTCCGTCACAAAAAAAAAAAAAAAAAAAAAAAAAAAAGGAAAAACAAAGGAAGGAAGGAAGGAAGGGGGAGGGGGAGGTCGAAGTGCGACCCCACAGCACTCCACTGGCCCGGGCTGGCCCCGAAACCACGGCGTTACCGTGAGGTTTCCAACGTCTTCGCTCGTTTCTTCTGGCTCTAGAGCCCACAGTGGGGCGGGCTGCGGGGCGGATTTCGCAGATAATCGCGATGGGAATGGAGGGACATAGATATCGCCCATCGTCTGCGGGTGGAGTCTTGCATGGGTAAGAGAAACACTGTGCTTCGCGGGTAAGGGGATTCAGCCCGCAGGGAGAATGGCAGCCGTGGGTAGCCGGGACTGGTGAAATCGGCCCACTCCCTACTAGAAGTCCCTAGTAGTCAAGGTTGCGAAGTGGTAAGGGGGAGGAGTAGGTGAAGGTTGGGGACGGGGGACATAAGTCCTGCCAGCCCTAGACTGCTGCTCCCAGGCACCCTAGGTGGAGGTCGGGAATGGGCGGGCCGGACGGGCCGAGGTTCAGCCTGCCGTCTGCCTGTAGTTGCCATTAATCTCCTGGGCGATGTTGACCGCCTCGGCGCCCAGGGGCAGCCGATCGCTGTACTCAGAGCCCGCCTCGAACTCCTCTTGGTTGGCCTTGGACTGGGACTCCACCAGTGAGCAGGCCGCCAGGCTCTCTTCTCTCTGCAGGTCCCCACTTGGGTCTCCCGGCTCTGCGTCTTCATCAAGGCCCTCCCCCTGTGCGTCCTCTGGTTCCTCGCCGCCCGCCTCGCCGCCTGCCGGGTAGCTTTTCTCGGACTCGAGGTAGGAAGCACGCGGGTCGAAGTCCGCGGCGATGCGCTTCTCCATAGGGTCAGGGGCCTGAGGCCGCAGGATCAGACGGTAGGGCTTGCCTGGGTGTTTAGCCAGCAGATGGCAGCAGGCGGCGCCCAGAAGGGGCACTGTGGCCAGCACCAGGAGGAATACGCTAACTGCCACGATGACCAGCAGCGATGGGAGCTCCTTCTTGGTGGAAAACACCACTTGCACGTGGCAGGCTTCGCCCGCCAGCGCCAGGCAGACGGAGTAGTTGGTACCCGGCCGCAGGCCTCGAAACCAGTAGGCGTTGACGCCTTCCTCTACGCGGGACCACTGCACGGCCGCCCCGCCCCCCGCTGGACACAGATAGAGTAGGCGCAGGGGTCGCCGCCCGGGTCGCCGGTCTCCGCCAGCCCCGCCGGGCCCAGGGCCCCAGCGCGCAGCCAGCGGCGTCAGCTGCACCCGCGCCTCGCGCTCCGCCACATCCAGCGCGATGACGCCCAGCTCGAAGACGTGCGGCTTGAGCTCTGCGCTCTGGTTGAACGCGTGGTTAGAAACGTACCGAGAGGGATCCCCGTTGCCACAGCGCTGCTCCTCCGCCGGGTCCGCGAGGATCTGGTCTTCGGCCTCCTCTCCCTCACCTGTGTCCTCCTCCGGCTCCGTCTCGGTCTCCCCGAGAATGCTGACCTTGGCCAGGCCTTGGCCTTTGATTTTGCCCTCGGGTTTGGAAGGCAGGACGCTGTTGCCCCGGCCCTTGCCTGTGGACTTGCGCTCAGAGGTCGGGGCCTGCCCGTCGGGTTCTCCCCCGGCGCCAGGCGCGTGTTTTGGGGGCCCGGTTGCTGCCACCGCCACACGTACTGACGTAGAGTTGGTGCCCAGCTCATTGTGTGCACGGCAAGTGTAGACGCCCGCCTCCTTGGCACTCAGGAGGGGGACCAACAGGGAGCCGTTTGCGAGGGCCAGGAAGCGCGGTGTGGCTGGGGGCGCGGGCCAAGCGGGTGCGGGAATCGGCGTTGGGGCTTGGGTCTGCGTCAGCAAGTCCCCATCTCCTTCTCCCTCTCCTTCCTCCGTCCCAACCCCATCGTCCTCCCCGCTCAGAACTGGTGGCTCTAAGACTACGGTGCCACCGGGGATCTGAAGTTGCCATTGCAGGCGGGGTGTGGGGTGGCCGTCGGCGATGCAGTGTAACATGAACGCCAGTCCCGCGCGCAGTGGGGTGCTCGGTGCCTCAAGCGGTGGCTCGGCACTCAGATGCACGCTCGGCGGTGCACAGGGCAGGGCGGGCAGGCGGTACACTGGCACCCCCTGCAGCGCGGGAGGTGACGCACAAGCAATGGAGTCGGGCTCGGGTAAGGACACCCGGGTGCTCGCGGCCCAGGCCTGCAGCCACACAAGGCCACAGCCGCAGTGGAAGGGATTGTGATAGAGTTGCAGGTGCGACAGCGCGCTGAGCGCGTCGAAGGTGCCGGGGGCCAGTGTACGCAGCCGGTTGTTGTTGATGCGCAGGGAACGCAGGTCGGGTAGCGCACCCAGTGCGTCCCGGGGCAGAGAGCCCAGGCGGTTGTGGTTCATTTTGAGCAGCTGCAGCGCGCTCAGGTTGCGCAGGTCGCTCCACGGAAAGCTGGATATGAAGTTGTGGCTCAGGTCGAGGTTCTTGAGCTGACTCAGCACTGCCAGTGCGCCTGGCTCCACGGTGCGCACCTCATTGTGAGCCAGCCACAGCGACGTGACCTGTGTGACGTCGGCGAAGGCCCCGCGCCGCAGCACGGTGATCTTGTTCGCGGACAGACTAAGCGTGGTCACGTTGGCAGGCAGTCCTTCCGGCACCTCGCGCAACTCTTTGTAAGCGCAGTCCGCGAACTGGTGAGCGTACTTGTCCACGCAGGCGCACGGCTCAGGGCATGCTCCAGCCCCTCCTAGAAGCGCCCAGACCAACCACAGGGCCCGAAGGGGGAACATCACGGCTCCTGCAGATGGAAGCCAGGGAAAGAGGAAAGAAGGTGACTCACTGAACCCTAGCTTACCTCCCCTATCAAGCTCTGCCTCCGCAAACCCGTCTAGCACAAGTTCCGGGACTCCGGTAACCTCCTCTATGGCCAGGAGACTCTCTTGGCCAGAAGTGAAGGTCAATAAAAATCTCGAGGTTCAACGGATGCTCCCTCCCAGGGCCCTAATTTCCTTTTCTGGCGGCCCGGTACATCGCTCTTTTTTCCCTTCCTACTCCTTGCTTCACGCTGGAGCTGGCCCCTCCGTAGGCTCCGCAGCTCGCCTATCTCCAGCGGGCTCCTCACGGACCCCTCTCTGTATTTCTAAGCCTTAGTTTAATTCGGTGAAATGGATCCTACCCAGGAAGGACATTTTTGTCTGAGACTGGCTGTCCTCCCTGGAACCTTTGTCCCACATACAGCACTCACACACACGCCCATTCAGGCGCACAACAATACAAACAGACGCGGGGCTTCATCATCAAACCGCCAACTTCTGCAGGCGTTTAGAGGACCTGATGCTCAATTAGGAGGCTCACAACACATTTCCTAAACTCACAAACACACATGCACCCAGACACGGATAAAATAGACCCTGGAGACCTCATTGTTCTCTTAACTGAACTGGCATTTGTACAGCGTTTTCCACCACGGTACAAAGCGCTTTCCTGTCCATTGTGAGAATTAACAGACACAAGGACCCAAGTCCTCACACGAACCGACCCATCCACAAGAACACAGGCATGCGCCCGTGTGTGCACATAGCCCTCCACCGTGATAAAAACCCAGCAGAGAAGCAATAGGAGGACCTGCACTGCACGACTTGAGATGTGGGATCTGGGGAAGCCCATCCCCATGACCTTCTGCATCTAAGGCCGAAGTCACCTGCCCGGGGCTGCAGCTCCTGTGAGGGGAGAAGGTTGCTCTGCCAACCTTCCTTATGGGGAAGGAGATCCTTCCCCCATGTTTGGACCAGGTGTGTTGGGAGAGTGGTCACTAGAGCTTCCTCTCAGGTCCCCCAGGCAGCTCCCATTGGGCAGAGGCGTCCTCAGCCAACAGGTCATGGAGCTGCCACTACCTAATGAAGCTGGAGAAGGTGAAAGATTCTGCGCCTTTCTCCACAGCTCTGCGGTGCCTAAGGTCCCCCTCCCCATAAAACCTTAAGCCCGGTCACACAAACGAACTTGCACAGACTCCCTGCCCCCTCTGGAGCGGCCGTCAGGTTTGGCAGAGCCCCTCCCACAGCCTGTCTTTGGGAACCTGCTCCTTCACTCTGCCTGTGCTCTTCTGGGAGGGTCCCTTCCCTCCCTTCTCAGTTCCTCCTAGACAGCACCTCCCCGCCAGCCCCGCACCCCATGGGGTGCTCTAGGCTGGACCTACCCTCACCTGGGTCAAGGTTGTGGGGTGGCCCCCATTACTTACCCAATATTCGCCGACTCTCAGTAAATGTCCTAGGGCTGAACCCCCTTCTCCAGACCCGGTGTGGCAGAGCAGGAAACATAGCCCAAGGAAGATACTCGCATGTGTTGTGGCTGGGAGGAAAACGGGGGGCAGGGGCAAAGAAAGGGACAGGTAAGTTTGGGGACTCGGTGGCCCCAAAGTACCACCTCAGTTTTTCCTTTTGCGTCCGTTCCCCCCACCTCTCTGGCTGCAGGTTGGAGAAAGTCCTTGCGCGCTCCAGGGCCTGGCGGGGACGCGCATAGCCTCTCCCGCCTCCTGCTGGGTCTACTTTTGTTAAAGCCACGGAGACCCTCCCCAAGGCCAAGTCGGTCATAAGGGGCATCCCACGCCCACCGTCCCGGCTGGGCTCTTCGCAGCCTACTACACCCCCCATAACCCAGGTACCCCCACATTTACACAGCCGCTGACGTTGTTACTGTCTCTCATCACACCACCTCCCCCCTCAACGTTCAAACACATTCGCGCACACACAGTCCCTCACACCCTCCCCATAGTCGACCTTCACACGTTACAATCATCCAAGATCAGGTAATAATCGCATCAATGTGTTCAGTCCCTGCTACATTCACACGCATTTTCACAGGCACACCTGCACACGGGACACTTACCGTTCTCCTCTCGCACACGCATACACACATTCACGCGAACTCACCCTCACGCGCCTGTCCCGCCAGCGCCCGCGAGCTTCACTGCTAATTGAATGCAAGCCGCTTTTACGCCCTGCAACACGTGAGACAAACCATCTTTGAGGAATTTGGGGGAAGGAAAGCCGCGCGGCTGAAGTCGGGTGGGGGAAGGAGTGTCTTTGCCGTTAAACTCTTTTTGCAAATGCAGGCGGTGGCACCGACAGACCTCGAGCCGGACCCGCGGAGCTGCGCGCAGCAGAGCTCGCGCGGACCCTTCCCTCCCACACCCCCCGCTGCTAGCCGCCTCCTCCCCGAAGCCACGTTCAACACGATGCATAATTGATAGTGTTAGCAGAGCGCCGCGCCCTCCCTACCATTTTTGCCTGGATCTGGGCTGATATAAGCCCTAGACTCCCCCCGCCGCCGCCGCCCCAACCCCCCTCCGCCCCGCCTGCTAGTCTAACCCGAGACCAGAACGCACAGCCCTGCAGGGCGTGCTGGGAAGGGACGCCCCCCTCCCCAGCCCACCGTAGCCCTGCCCAACCTCTTAAACCGGAACTCTTTACATCTGGTCTTTTGTGGCTAAACCAGCGCTTGAAGCCCACTGCCCGGCTCGTTGGCCTAAGCGCACCGCGGGACAGGTGGAGCAGGGGGAAGCTCTCCCGAGCTCACCCAAGCACCTCACTCCAGGTCTTGCCTGCTCCAGGAGAACGGGGCAAGGAAGCTGCAGCAGACAGTAGCACAGACAAGGATGGTGTCAAAACGTCCGCTACTCTTGAGCACGGTGGGCTGGGGACTTCAGGCCTGAGCATTTCTCCCATCCCTGCCCCCCATATCTTCCCAGCCTCTCAAGCAGACACTCGGTCAACCCTACACGCGCTATCCCCCAAGCCGCGGTGGCCCCCCACCGCCCCGCCGTCTCACACCCTCACACAACAGCCGGCTTCAGCAGACTCGCTGTTCCCGACTCTCGCTCCCTAGCTCTGATGAAACCCCGACATTTCTTTCAGCGATGAGCAGGCGGAGGCGCGGCGATGTCGAGGCATTTGGCTAAAACCCGGTTTCCGCCCCCCTGCGCTGCCCACGTTAGCCCTGGAGACAGCTACCGGCCAGAACCAGGAAAGGGGTTCAGGCTCCGGGAGACACGCAGAATCCCCACCCGTTCTGTAGCCACTCAGCTCTCCGGGCGCACCAAGTCCCACAGCCATCACCCCGGGCCATGGGGGTCTCTCGTGGTGGGTCGATGGCGCGGGTTTGGGGCTTCCGTGGAGATCAATACCCCGATTTGAGTGTTGAGCATCTTAATGAGCTAGGGGAGGGGGTGGGGAAGAGAGACAGGGTAAGAGCGCAGCATCTAAAGAGACCACCCGGCCCGGGGTTCCGAGGCTGCTTTGTAAATTAAATATGAACAGACTGGTGCGCTCACGCTCTAAGCGTCCCTCCCTCTCTCCTACTCCTGCCGTCGCTACAGGCGGCCCAGCGGGCTGGAACCATCGCATCTCGCTTAGCCCCAGTTCAGAACACAGAACTTCACACAGCCTGCTCTGGCCTGGGATCCCCCCAGCCCACCCATGGGGAGGGCGCAAGGCGCCTTTCAGGGAAGGTGTCTTCGAGAAGGGTCGAGGGGTGAGAGCACTGTGACCCGTCCCTGCCGGGGACCCTGTGGTGGGACAGCCAGGATTGAGTCCCTAGCCTGGGAGTGAGTCCCTGAGGTTTCTAGGCCTTGTGGGGTCGGGGGAGGGACGCAGACAGCGGGACCAGCACACCCTTCTTTGTCTGCCGAACAAGGTGGGGGTGGGGGCTGGGAGCTGCGTCCTGGGCAGTTGTCCGGGTATTGGGATCCCTGAGGGGGCGGTCTTGGGAGCCTATGCCAGGGAAGGATCTTAGGAGGCAGGGGCCCAGCAGCTGGAGCTGAGTCCGGTCCGGGATGGCGTGTCCAGGGGACTTTTCGAGACTGAGTGAGGGGCGTCAGGCGGGGAGACTCAAGGCCTTTGGGCCCTCCCCCGGTTTTTACCTATTTTCTTTCTTTCTTTTTTGCCTTCCGCAGGGAGGCAGAATCTGGGTAGTGGAAGGGAGAATGGGCTCGCTATTTGCCCGGAGCTTCCCCGGACTGCAGGAACCCGTCCTATAAGCAACCCGGAAACTTCGGGGCCCGAGGACCAGGGAAGACCCCCTTTCCTTGCTGTCTTGACAGGGTTGCAGAAGCCAAGGAGTTCGGCAGGGAGACCTTGGGTGGTTAAGGACGCAGTGACCACCCCTGCGCTGGAGCTGACTCCCGCAGGCCCCGGAGGCTCTAGCTCACTCTACAGCAAATGCTTTTGTCCCCTAGGCTGCCCTGGGGGAAAGACGCCCCTTACCCCTGCCTTCGAGCCTGGAGAGCGCAGTGCCCGCCCGGGCAGGGCTGGAGCCCGAGTCGCCCCAGGCAGAGTCCGCCGAGGCCTGGGGTGGGAGCCGCGACTTCTGGATCTGCCTCCGAGCTCAGCTAGAAGACTGCGCGCACCTCGTCCGGCGCCGCCCGGTGCGCAGAAGCGGGTCTAATGTTTATAACGTTAATAAAGACACAGTTACGGGAGGGCTGGGTAGCAGGGAACCAAGACCTCACCCCGCCGCCGCCCACGTCTTTGATCGTTAAAGAAACAGTCAACTAATCAGGTGTGTGGAAGTAGGGGTGGAGGAGGGGAGGGTGACAAGGTTCCAAGCCGGGAGCGCAGAGGGTCCCAGATTCAGAATCTGCCGAATCCAGACTAAGGCTTCTAACCAGGCTGGGGCCGACCCCAGATAGACCCAGGAATGGAGAGCTGGAGCCCCTGGCCACTGTTTGCGGATCGACCCTTAACTTCAACGTTGTGAATCCGGAGCGTCGGGATGGTGGGGAGGACTGACACCCGTTGGATCTGGGGACTTGCTGCAGCGACTCCGTCCGCGCGCTGTTCCTGGGGTTCAAGCCTGCTCCGCGCGCTCTTCCTGGGGCCCAAGCCTGCTCCGCGCGCGCCCCCTGCTGGACACCGCTTGCCAGGCGCAGAGGCGGATCAATGGCGGAGGGTGCCGGCTCGGCGAGGAAGATGTGGCTGGAACCCTGCACCAAGGCGAGCGCTGCCCGCGGCTCTGCAGTCCTGCGGCGCGATACTCCAGTGGGGCGCGCTTAACCAAAGTCCCGAGGCTTTACTTCCCGTGCCCACCCAGTCTATGTCCCAGGTATCAGCAACCTCTGACCCCCTACACAACACAGGCGCGGTCCCTACTTCGCTCTGCGTAGTGTTTCCAGTGCCCAGGGCGTCTCCTAATTCTTGAACGACTAGTCCCTGGCACGAAAGCTGCTTACACACCTCTCCCATTCTCCCTTCTCTCTGAGTCTGATGACTCTCTCAGGGGCCTATTAAAATAAATATCTGAGATCTGAAAAAAAATCTATTGGCGCTAAGAGGTGCAAAAGGAAACGGCAAAATTGGAAGAAATCGATGTTTGAATGTTTAGGACATGCAATATTGTGTAAACGATTCTGTTGCAACTGCACTCAGAGTTGTATATATGCCCTTGTATTTTAATGTGGCACGCAGAGGATTTAATGGACTTGCCTAAAGATGTGGGAAGGGCCTCTGAGAATAAGAAAGCCGGGGCCCAGATGGGCATCAAACATCCCCACCATAGCAGCCGGTTAAGGCTGCGGAGACCTTCCCCACGGCTGCCCTCCAGCCAGAAGCCCCTGAACACTCACTGTTTTCCATCTTTCAGTTTCTGCGCGCGCGCGCGCGCACACACACGTTCTCTCCAGTCCCTCACCTCCAAGAAGCTGCTTTCCTTTTCTAATTTCCAGTCGAAAGATCACCCCTCAGGGAAGCCAGGCCCAGTTTGTAATTCCCCCTCCGGCCTTTCCTTGTACAGGCTCTATGTAGTCGTCAGGAGGGCAGGTTCTAGCATCAGACTCCATTATGTACTGACTGTGTGTCCTTAGCCAAGTTATTTAACCTCTCTGTGCCTCAAGAAAAAAAGGCATAAATAAGAGTACTGGCCAGGCGTGGTGGCTCACGCCTGTAATCCCAGCACTTTGGGAGGCCAAGGCGGGCGGATCACGAGGTCAGGAGTTTGAGATCAGCCTGACCAACATGGTGAAACCTGGTCTCTACTAAAATCACAAAAATTAGCCGGGTGTGGTGGTGCGTGCCTGTAATCCCAGCTACTCAGGAGGCTGAGGGAGGAGAATCACTTGAACCTGGGAGGCAAAGATTGCAGTGAGCCGAGATCGTGCCACTGCATTCCAGCCTGGGTGACAGAGTGAGACTCCATCTTTAAAAACAACAATAACAACAAAAGAATACCTATGCTTTTGGGCCACCTTGAGGATTAAATGAATCAATGCATGCAAAGCACTTAGTACCTGGCACTTAGTGCTCAGTACTTGCGCACTTTTTAAATACAGTAGCTGAATTAGCCATTATTATTGCCTTGCAGAGTTGGACACAGGTTTGATAAAATGTTCTGCTGCACACACCCCTACAGGCTTGTGTCCTGCCTCCCCCATAGGGGAGGACCTTGGCTCTGCCCCCAGACCTCTCTCTTCACCACCACCACCCCCTTTGCACACACACACACCATGGGTATATGTAGCAACCAGATTTACTATTATGATTTGTAAAGGTTTCTAGTTTCAGATACTTAGACTGGGCTTGTGGCTGCCACCAGCATGCCTGTTTGCGAAGAGAGACCTGCAACTGCAGACTTGCTGGAAGGTTTTTAATTAGAACTATATTCTGTTTAAGCGTTTATTGGACTTTGTGACTTTAATTATTTTCTAGGGGGAAAAAAAAATCCACATTTGCCTATGAGAAGACTGTTGATTTCAGAGGAAAGTAGCAACCCGTGGCAGTTTGCTGGAGGCAACTGAGAGGAATTTTCTGAATGGTTCTAATGAAGCTCGACATTTTTAATAATCTGTATTAATAATAAGCCCATGACCCTCCTCCCAGCATTTTCATGAAATTAGCTTAATGTACTGGCAAGGCCTTTTATTGCCATCCAAATTAACAACAGCTCTTCCAGTGGCAGCTCATGTAATTATCTGGGTCTGTGCTTGTCTCACTGAATAAGAGGAACTCCTGCCTGGAAGAGGCAATACTCCTACATTCAAGGGGGAACCTGGCCTAGCAAGATGGCTCATGCCTGTAATCCCAGCACTGTGGGATGCCAAGGTAGGAGGAGTATTTGAGCCCAGGAGTTTAAGACCAGCTTGGGCAACATAGTGAGACCTCATCTCTACATTTTTTTTAATTAGTTGGGCATGGTGGTGCACACCTGTGGTCCCAGCTACTCTGGAGGGAGACTGAGACCAGAGGATTGCTTGAGCCCAGGAAGTTGAGGCAGCCATGAGCCATGATCACACCACTGCACTCCAGTCTGGGCAACAGAGTGAGACCCTGTCTCAAACAAACAAACAAACAACCATAAAAACCCCAAAAAACAAGTAAGGGGGGCGGGGTGCAAGATGCTTGGCAGTCCCACCCCAGTTCAGGCAGGACTGTTTTCCACAAGAGATGTCCTGAGGCAGCCAGCTCCTCTGTGGTAGGACTTGCCCTGGTAAAGGTAGGGCTGGGTGAGGCAGGGGAGTGGGGGCTGTAGATGATGTGTAATATTTCCATCGGCAAATAACAAGATACCCATCTCCAAGGATGGAAAGTATTAAGTATATCATCTCACAAAGCAGGAAGAAAGGCTCGCTTCCCAGCTGTTGATTCAGCGGCTCAATGACATCAGCAGTCACAAGTTCTTTCATCTTTCCCCTCTGCCACCCTTAATAGAGCTTCCAGCCCAAGGACTGGGTCCCTTGGTGCCTTGGTGTCACTGGAGGGCTTCCGGAGCCACCAAGGAAACATACTTATTGTGTGTTTTTTTTTTTTTTTTCTTTTCAGATGGAGTCTTACTCTTGTTACCCAGGCTGAAGTGCGGTGGCACAATTTTGGCTCACTGCAACCTTCACCTCCTGGGTTCAAGTTATTCTCCTGCCTCAGCCTCCTGAGTCGCTTGGATTACAGGAGCATGCCACCACACCCGGATAGTTTTTGTATTTTTAGTAGAGACGGGGTTTCGCCATGTTGGCCAGGCTGGTCTCAAACTCTTGATCTCAAGTGATCCTTCCACCTCAGCCTCCCAAAGTGCTGAAAATTACAGGTGTAAGCCACTGTGCCCAGTCACAAATGTAATGTTAACAGACTAGTGGGTTAGAAAGACAGGTTTCTCTTTTTTGAAGCCACAGCCTCTCCCTTGGCTCTCGACACCTATTGGCATAGGACTGTTTATCTCTGAACCAGTCACTGGTGAAGGGGTTGAAATTGATTGGTTCAGAACAATCATCTAGCCCTGATATGGCTATGGAGCAGTCAATCCCAAGGCTCACTACAAGCAAGAAGTCCCTTTTAAATAGAAGGATTGGGGAATTACATGTTCAGAGTAGCCTAATATTGTATTAAAATGAATTGAAATGAGAATGACCAGGATTATAATGGACCATACTAGATACTTCCTTATCTGGAGTTTAGACCAATCTATATCCACAGTCTGAGATCACAGGGTCAGGGCAGTGTGTGTGACCAGGTTCAGGAAACTCTGGTAGGCGTACAAACCAGAGGATTCCTTGCTTTCACAGAATTCTTGGATTGATTATTTTTATATTTACTGTTTTTGTCTTTATTTATTTGGGTTGAGGATCAAACTGTGTTGTCCAGCTGGCCTCAAATCCTGGGCTCAAGTGATCCTCCTGCCTCATCCTCCCAAGTAGCTGTGCCTAGAGGCACACATTTCACCCGGCTCTTTCACGGAATTCTTGAAAGGATAAAAATCTGTTCTTGGAAATGCCTGTGCTGGGATCCAAAGCTATTTTTGGAGCAGTGGAAGCTTCAGTCTTTAGTCGGATATTTATGAACAGGAGATGTTTATGAACTCAAAGATGTCCCTGTATGACTTCACGTCCTGAACATGTCTCCCAGTCCCATGGCAGAGAAGAGAGGCACTTTTACTGTCGAGGTGGAAAACAGGAGGAAGAATTCTACCTTGGTCTTAGGAAAAACGTGGGGCAGTGCAAAGCAGGGCAGACCACACTGGGCTTGGAGCTCCACAACCTGAAACCTCACTCCAGCTTCACAAGCTCTCTAAGTGGTCTTGAGCGACTCTTGCCCTCTCCACAGCCCTTGGGGTGCTGTGGCCTTAGAAGAAGCCAGTTTGCAGGTTGAGTTGGGGCTTCTGGGCCTCAGGCTGCCATCTGAGAGGGCTTCCTGCAGGAAGACACCCTCCTTGGGTGTCTGGGGGCTGTGGCTTCCCCTCTTCCTCATGGCCCTTGGCAGTTTCTGTGTCTCCCCTCCCATCACACTGCAACCCACCTCATCTCTTGAGGACCACTTGGGCCCCAGGAGCTAGCCCCTCCCTCAAACCGCTGTGCACTGCTCTGTGGGCAGAGGGAGTCTTCCTGCTTCAAAACACTTACCGAAGGCTCTTTCCATAGCAGGATTCAGGGGCGGCTGGGGCGCTGTTACTTCAGGTTAAAATCTGATCACTGAATATTTCAGGAACCTGGCACATCAACCGGGGAAGAGCAAGGCTGCCACCCCTTCCTGCTCTGCAACCCTCAGTCCTCCATTCCCTGGGGACATCACAGGACATAAAAAGGCCACAATAAACACACATTCAGAGAACTGTCCCCCACCCCAACCCGCCCCACACCTCCTGTGGCCTCCTGCAGACTGCAGGAGGGCCGGGCCCAAAGTCTCCTCCTCCTCCTCCATCCCCCAGACTCAAAGCTCCTGGGGTGTGGGGGCTGCCCAGGGCCTTCCCCTCCACTGTCCCCATCAAAGCCCAGAACAGCACAGGGAGGGCACTCAGTGGGCTGAAATAAAACTGACTTTTCCCTCGGAGACCTTCAGTCTCTTGCTATCAATAGACTGTTTTCATTTGCTCTTGGAAGTGGCTTCCCAGAAGCAGAGCTGAGACAATGTTTTGTGTGCAGGTGGTTGTTTAAAAAACTGCCCAAGCAAAAGCAAAAAACAACCAGAAGAGAGAAGGGGAAGTAGGAAAGGAAGAGGAAGAAGCTAAGCAAAGGTGTGATTTCAGGCACAGTCTCAGCCTTGGACTGATCCCAGGAAGCTCCAGAGTGAAAATGAATCCTGTTTGTCCCAGTGAGAGGCAGAGAAGCTCACTTCCACAGATGCACAGCAGTCAGACATTGGCCAAGGGCTGCCCCTCGGGGATGGGACTCCCAAGCACTTCCTCCTCTCTGGGCCTGTAGGCAATCAGCTCTAGTAGCCTGGAAAGACGCTGTGAAATCTGCACCCACCTTAGCGAGACGCAATGACAGCCTTGAAGGATTACAGAGTCACCCAGCATCAGAGTTTGGGGCCCAGAGGTCCCCATCCCTTTCACTTTACTGGGAGGGAGACAGAGGCCGAAAGAGCGGTCACAGAGCAGGTGGGGATGGGAAATGTCCCCAGCCTACCTGGGCAGTCTGGGTTAAGGGTGTGCCAAGCCTGGTGGCTGTGGGTGAGCTTGCTGATTAGGAGGACCTTGAGGTTCTTGGGCAGATGTGGCCTCGACAGTGGCAAGGGCAGCTGTCTCTGGGGTGGATGGGACAGGCCCCCCCACTTCAGGTCTCCTGGTTAGTCCCCCATTCCCCCACTCCATTGCCCACAGGCACTTGAACAGAATCCCATCCACATGTGGGAGAGACTGAGGTTGCACCCTCGAGTTATTTATAATAGGATGCTGACCCCAAATCAGGCCCCATAGAGAGGGCATCTCATCAGGCAGCTGGCTGGGGCAGAGATCTGGAGGGAGGAGAACACTCCCGGAGGTGGATCCTGGCGTACCCAGGCAAGGCCAGTTCAAATGGCTACGTCTAGGGGAAGCCAGGCACAATTCAGTGTAAGGGGGTCTACAGCAGTAGATCAGGGGCTAGGGGACTGTATCTACTCTTCACTGACTTCCTGTGAGACTTTGGAAATCTGTCTCCCTTCTGGGCCTCAGTTTCTCCTCCTGTGCTGTGGGGC